TGAGACTTGTGGATAAAGGGGGGAATAAGGGGCATACTTGGTAAAATACAAGAAATAGATACATAAAATGTGGGACAAGATAACTGAAGTGTGATTATAGAAAGTTAAATAGATCAAAATCAGAATTTAGATCGGTAATATTGCCACCTCTCCATGGCAAAGTGCAGACTTCTATAGCATAAAAGTTCAGGAATTTGGGGTTTCTATTACGTATTAAAAAGTGTTTAGACACTGTATGATTACTAAAACCTTTCAAAATATCCCTGCAGTGTTCTGCTATCCTGGTTTTGAGATTTTAGGTTGTCATCCCAACTTATTGGAGACCACAAGGGCACTCCAATACAAGACATACATTTTAGATTCTTTGTTCATAATGTTGTAAGAATGGTCATTTTGCATTTAAAAAAAACTGTTTTGTTGAAAAATATGTTTTTTTGTTTAATAGATTTTCTTGCATAGTTTGTAGTTAAAAAGGATCTAAGGTTTGGGGCTCCCATAAAGACGATTTTAGGTTTGGATGGTAAAATCTTATTTAGTATGTCGTCTTCTTTAAGTATGTCCCACTGCTTGTTGATTATTTTTTTCACTTGGTTTTAATCTTAAGAGCTGGCTCTTATGGACACTGTTGAGCCAGGGGGCATAGTGACAACTTGTAAGATCTATGAATGTGTTAGTGTGTACGTTTTAAAAAGGTTTTCGAGGTCTAGAAAGTTGATTGAGGTTTTACTGTAATTTAAACTTATGCCTCTAAAAATTTGGTTAACACTCCTTTTGACCCTATCCAAATAAAAAACAGATCATCGATGTAACCACGGTAGAGTACCAGGTTCGCTCCCCAGCCATGCCCACCCCACACGGTGGAATTTTCCCAATCCGCCATGAAGAGGTTGGCATAGCTGGGGGCAAACCTAGGCCCCATTGTGGTACCATTCTTCTGAAGATAAAAAGTGTCATAAAACCAGAAATAATTATTATTTAAAATCAACTGGATACCAATAAAATCAATTTGTGATTGGGAAATGTATTTTTCTTTATCTAGTATACTTCTTATTGCACTATAACCTATGTCATGGGGAATGATAGTGTACCACGACTGTACGTCGCTACTTACTAAAATGTAATCTGCTTCCCATTCTATGTTTTTTAAAATTTGGAGGAGGCCCATACTGTCTCTTAAATAGGACTTAGTGTTTTGTACATAGGGTTGGAGGACGATGTCAATATATTCAGAGAGATTTGATTGAACTGAATTTATCCCTAAAACGATGGTTCTACCTGGAGGATTTTTTATGTCTTTGTGTATTTTGGAAGGAAGTATATAACTGGTATTGATGGAAATTGTACATTGATGTAAGAGTACTCCGAATTATTTAGGATTTCCTCATCTTTACCTTTATCTATGAGTGAGTTTTTGGTATATAGAATCATTATTAAGATATTTATATGCTTCTTATTAAGGTGTTTATATGCTTCTAGAGGCAGAAGAGCTGGTAGAAGAATCCAAAAAAGGAAGGATCGAATAAATACCAACAGCTCTCCTAAAGAAGAATCAAGAATTTTTAACCTATCACATAAAGTTTTAACCTCCACAACACCACTATCTTAAACACTTTCATTGAAAATATAGGCGCTTTAGATAGAAACTCTCTTCTGGAATACAAAACAATACAAAAACAAGATATAATGCTCCCTCTAGTATTTGATTATAGCAACAAAAGCCACCAAATGAAAAAAATAATCAACAAGCAGTGGGACATACTTAAAGAAGACGACATACTAAATAGGATTTTACCATCCAAACCTAAAATCGTCTTTATGGGAGCCCCAAACCTTAGATCCTTTTTAACTACAAATTATGCAAGAAAATCTATTAAACAAAAAAACATATTTTTCAACAAAACAGGTTTTTTTAAATGCAAAATGTGTTCAAATATTATGAACAAAGAATCTAAAATCTTGTTACTTGTAACACGTAAAATTTCTCATGAACTATTCATATATGAAACATTATTTATTATGAATAAAATAAAAACAACTGTGAGAAATTAAGATTTTTTAAAAAAAATGTGTAGTTCCGCCTGACATTTTAGCTGTAAATGTCATTATACTGTTAGCTTTTACTGCAATAAAATGCACATATTTGTATTCAGCAAAGTCTCACGAGTACAACAGTACTCCCTATTCACAGATTTTACGGTGTTTTGGAAAGCACATTCCATTTTTCATTTTTTCACATTAAAATTTGCCCGATCAGTAATGTTACCTTTGAGACCGTGTGGTAGCCCAGGAATGAGAATTAGCCCCATGGTGGCATACCTTTTGCAAAAGTACACAACTCAGCAGGCCCGGACTGGCCATCGGGCATACCGGGCAAATGCCCGGTGGGCCGCGATGGCCGTGGGCCCCTGCAGGGCCAGCGCTACCCTATCAAAGATCTCCCTCACCAGCCCACAGGCAGTGTCACAGACGGCCGCCGGCTGGGGAGTGAGTGAGGGAGGGAGGCAGGAGAGAGGACCGGCGGAGCTCTAACCAGCAGCTCCGCCCGGTCCTCTCGCGGGATTCTGAGCCGCCCAGCTCTCGCGAGAGTGAACTCTAGCCCTGAAGGCTAGAGTTCACTCTCACCACTGGACCACCAGGGAAGCATGACAGCATGGCAACACGGCTCCCCCCCTCCCAGGCTAAAGGTAAGAAGGGGGGGGGGTGGGCATAACTTTTTTTGTAAAATTATTAATAAAACAATATATATTTAAAATAATTTCCCTAACAGCCCCAGACACACACACACAGCACCCAGACACACACACAGCACCCCCAGACACACACAGCACCCCCAGACACACACACACAGCAGACCCACACACACACAGCACCCCCAGACACACACACACAGCACCCCCAGACACACACACAGCACCTAGACACACACACAGCCCCCAGACACACACAGCCCCGACACACAGCCCCCCAACGCACACAGACACACACCCAGCACGCAGACACACAGCACCCCAGACACACAGCCCCCAGACACACACACACAGCACCCCCAGACACACACACAGCCCCCCAGACACACACACAGCCCCCAGACACACACACGCACACAGCCCCCAGACACACACGGCACCCCAGACACACCCAGCTTCCAGACGCACACAGCAGACACACACAGCACCCAGACACACACAGCACCCCCAGACACACACACAGCACCCCCAGACACACCCAGCATCCCACAGACACACACAGCGCACCCCCAGACACACACAGCACCCCCAGACGCACACAACACCCTCAGACAGACAGCACCCTCACTCCCACACATATACAGCACATATATATTATATAAAATAACCCTCAGTGAGTTAACAGACAAAGAAAATTAGAAACCCAGAATGTGACGGCAGATAAAAACACCCTCACACACAGCACTCCTCTTACACAAACACGCTGCGCACCTCACACATACAATACGTCCAAATATATTATATATATATATACATATATATGTAAATACACACACACACTACAGCACCCCTCACACTGCACCACTACACACATTACGCTCCAGATACACGCTAAATCCCTTACCCTATATGCACTCTTAATCCTCTACACACACACAATCTTCTATACACACTCTGGGTCCTTTACACACTAGATCTCTTACACACACACTGCACCACCTACACAAACACTACATTCTTTGTAAGAAAACACATACAACATTCTCTAAACACACCCTCTCTACACACAGTAGTGTGTGTGTATAAGTGACACACACTACATCACCTATACACACACACTACTGCCCGTATGCACACACTCGCTACATCCCCTATAACACTTTGCTCCTATACACGTACTCTCTACAGCCCCTAGCCACACATATTACACCACAAAATTGACCTATTTACACAATATCACACCACACTCTACACACAGGCAATCCCACAAGCATGCGCCATACACTTTCCTGGCCCTTTTGTCCTCTGGTATCCCACTTGTGGAGACACCAGAGACAATTTAAAAGCAAACACAGCGCAAGCATGTTATTAAATTTGCTTGCGCTGCGCAGAACAATTACAGGGCCTTTTTCTAATGCTAGAGCTCTTCAGCGGGGCTCTGCGCATTGAACCAACATGCTCACTTTCAGAGGGGGTGTACTTCTCATTAGTGATGACAAAACACACCCGCTCTGGCCCCGCCCCCTTCTTGGGGGGCCGCTCTAATTGAAAAATGCCCGGGCCTAATTTTTTTCCCAGTCCGGCCCTGCAACCCAGGGTATTGCAAGTGGGGTATGTCCAGTCTTTTTTAGTAGCTACTTAGTCACACCCACCACCACCACCAGATTCAGAAAATCCCACCTTGCAAAATTAACTGTAATCTATTGTAAACATTGCAACTTACATGTGTGGGTGCCTTAAGTGCCCCTTTAAATAAGAAAAGGGTGTTTTTGGCAAGGTAAACATCATGGATTTTACATGGAGAACTGCATATTTGCTGCTCCTGAATAATGTCCTGAGTACAGTTACACCAA